TAGATAGGTTTATAGTAAGGGATAAAGTATAGCTAGACCTCTATAACTATAGGTTAGTATAGTTAAAAAAGAAGCTTAACTAGCTATATATAAAGTTTATAGTATAAAGAGTTATTAGTCTATAAGTTATAAATCTTAATAGTCTTTTAATAGGGGTTTATAATTATAAGAGTCTAGGCGTTACTTAGATAGTTAATAGGTATAGTTAATTAATAAGCTAGGTAGCTTAGTTAATTTATTACCTTTTATTATATATATATAATATACTATATATAGTAAAGGGGGGTAGTAGCGCGACTATAGCTTATACCCTCTTAGGTTTACTTTATAATATATTAACTAAGCTACCTATTAATCGTAGGTTTAAGTCCTTATATATAAGGCTAGATAAGCGCGTATATATATAAGCGCCGTAGCTTAAAAGCGTATATATAGCGTAGGTAGTAAGGGATCTTAACCTAGGCTAATAGGTAGTACGGTACCTAAAGGTAATAGCCTATTAACTAAGGGAGTAATAAAAGAGAGCGTAGGAAGAAACTATATATAAGAGTCTAAGCGTTACCTAGATAGTTAATAAGTATAGTTAATTAATAAGCTAGGTAGCTTAGTTAATTCGTTACCTTTTATCGTATATATATAATACGCTATATATAGTAGAGGGGTATAATAGCGCGACTATAGGCTATACCCTCTTAGGTTTACTTTATAAAAATAATAAGATTAATATAGACCTCCCTCGCCGAGCCTCTTTTAACTTATTACCTAGATAAAAAGTAGTAGACGCTTAACCGCTTATAATTAAAGTAAAAGAGGAGGACGAGTTTAAGGTTAAATAGATATAGGCTATATACTAGAAAAAGGTTAGTAAGGGGAAACGCTAAGAGGTCCTCGTTAAATAGTATAGGTATCTCGACCTTATATAAGAACCTATATATAAGTTTATAGGAGCTATAGCTCTTAATAAGTTTAAGGCTTTATTTAAGCTAATAAATAAGAATAATAAACTAATAAACTATTAATAATAGCCTAAGCTAAGACTATAAAGTAAATAAAGTAAAGTAAGTAGTTATAATAATATAAGTATAATAATATAAGTAGAGATAAAAATAGCGTTTATTTTAAAGTAAAGCCCTTAAACTACTTAGTCCTATTTCTTATCCTTACCTTTATCCTCGCCCTTATTATTATTATTATCCTTATTAGCTTCCTCCTCCTTATTAGCGGCGGCGGCGCTCTCTAAGGCACTTAAGCGGCCCTCTAAGCCCGCGAGCTAGTTAGCGGTAGTAGCGGCTCTAAGGGCGGTAGAGGTAAAAGGGAGGCGGCTAGTAGTAGCGGTAAGGGTAGCGGCGGGTATAGCTAAGGGAACCGCTAATAGGGCGATAAAGGTAGTATACTTAGTACTAAGGGAGTTAGTAGCGGAAGTAAAAGAGCTAGAGGAGAGGAACTTACTTAAGGATAAGGCCCTAGCGCTTAAGGGCGTGGAGATTACGATAGGCGGCGGCGGCGGCGGTAAGGCGCTTCTTAGTAGCCCCCTATACCTACCTATACGCGCTAGCCTTTTAAGCCGACGCTATAGCGAGTAGGATAAGAGGCGCCGCCTTATAAGCGCGGCCGGTACGCGCGTATTAATAATAACTACTACTATAGCGGCGCCCGACTTAGTCGGCGTAGGGGAGCTCCTATAACGTATACCGTATATAGGGGGCCGCGTAAGCGGCTCCGGCCTATACTTAGCGCTTATACTTTAAGAAGTTAGCGGAAAATAGCTATTATACTTACTAGGTAGTAGACTTATAAGGTAGTAGAGGTAGAGGTAAGGGTAAAGGGGCTAGGTATTATAAGCGGCGGCGGGGATAGCGTTATTACCTTAAAAGGCAACGTAAGAGCGGCTAGCGTAGTAGAGGTAAAAGCGGCGGCGGTAGGCGCGGTTATAAGGGCGCGGGTAAAGGTAGCGGTAGCGGTAGAGTTATTATCGGCCGCGCTTAGTATAGTATCGATAAACGACTTTATACGCTCTAAGAAAAAAGAAAAAAAGGAAAATAAAGTAAATATATTTACTATAGAAGTTAATATAGTAGAGTATAGCCTTTTACTTTATAAGATAAAGGACTTATTAGTTAGAGTTATTATTACTATTATTACTATTATTATTACTATAGTTATTCTTATAAGTACTTATTAATAAGGTAGCCTATATAGCTAGGAATAAACTAACGCCTTAAGTAAAGTAGAACTTACTTATTACTATTACTACTATAGTTAAAGAAGGAAGAGAAGGAAAGAAAGGAGGAAAAAAGGGATACCGCCTTATATACCCCTTAGTAGAGGAGGCTGCCTAAGGCTAAGGGGACGGGTAACTTAAGGCTTATATACGTCTAGGCCGGCCGCCGGCCGCCTAAGGGTTTATATAATAGGTTACGCCCTTATTTAAACGGCCGGCCGGCCGAGAGGTATAGAGCTAGGTTCTAGCTACCTAAGTTAATAGGTATAAGGATAATAGAGCTAGTAGGGCTAGCACGATTAACGGGAAAGGGTAAGGTAGAGCTAGCGGTATAAGGAGCCTAAGGCCTAATTATATAGGAGCTATTAATAGGGCAGCGCCGCGCCGCGCTAAAGGAAGGGTATTATATAAGAGTCTTTAACTATTATAAGTTATAGGCTTAGGCTACGGCCTAAGCTATATAGTTATATATAGAGGGCCGGATCCTATATATATATATATAGGCTAGCCGCGTATAAAAGAGCTTAGTATAGCTTATTAATATTATCCTATAGATAGCACCTATATATACGCCTTTACTTACTCTATAATAGTATTATCTTATAACTAGTTATAGTAAGAGTTATAGTTATTATAAAGTAAGTAGAGGTATATATAAGTTAAAAGGTATATATCCCTATCTATATCTTAGCTTAGGGTCTTAGGATAGGTTAGGGCTTAGTTCTTTTATAAGTAGGGGGTTATATATCCTTAGTTATTAAGGGCGGTAAGGAATTTTATTATAGTCGCGTATAATTAATCCCTTATAATAGCTAGTACCGTTATAATAATTACTATAAATACGATTATTAGCTTAACGTTAGCTACCTAGCTTATAGTATACCCCCCCTTTAGTACCCTTTCTTACTAAATTATAAGCTTTAAAACACTAAATAATAAATATAAGAAAAATAGTTATATAAAGTAGCTCCTAGAATACTATTAGTAAAATAGCTTAAGTTAGTATTAAAATTTACTTTTTATATATACTATATCTAATTATACTTATATAAAAGCTTAAAGCTAACTTAAGTATTTTATTAGTACTTTTTACTACTTTACTTAGTAAGCCTTAATACTTTAAAAAGTATTAAAATAATATTAAAAAGAAATCTAATAAAGTAAGCTAAGTAGTAGATAAGCTTTTTTATAGTATATACTACTAATAAAGTAGTTAAAGACTTTTAACTAGCTTTTTCTTTTAAGTTATTAAGTAATAAACCTTTCTCCTTATTAAAAAAAAGAAGTATTTTAAGAGTATCTTATTATCTTTTTATTTAATAGATAAAATAGTAAATAGAAAGTTCTTTAAGTACTAAAAGCTATATAAAGATAAATAGTACTATATTAATTTTTTTAAACTATTTATTTAGTATTTTAATTTTTTTTATAGGAAAACTAAATAGTAATATAACTTATTTATTATTAGAAAAAAAGAAAAATTTATAGTACTTTATAAATCTATTATAGCTTAGCTCTTTAGCTATAAAGCTTTAGTCTTTCTACCTATTTTAATAAATTAGTTATATATTTATAAAAAACCCGACTTTTAGTAGGAAAAGGGTGCTAGAAGGGGGGTATAGTATAAGCTAGGTAGCTAACGTTATCCTTTTATCCGTGGCGCGACGGTATAACGGTCCGTTATAAATTTTCCCTTAATAAATAGGAAACGCGGCTCTAACTTAGTAGGTTCGGCGCTATATTACGCGCCCGCTAGTAGCTGTAAGAGGCTACTAATAGAGAGGCGTAATAGGCGCTTAATAACGAGTCGTTTAATATATCGAGCGTGTATTTTATCGCGGTTGCAGGGGTTCGGTCGGATGGGAAGGGATTATTAGATTAACGCTCGCCTTAGGCTCGCCGTCTATGCCTAGAGCTTCGCCCTAGTCGCACCCCTTTAAAGTATTTTTCGTACTAGTAAAGTGCTCTCGAAGGGTAATAATAAAGCTAGAGATCTTAGAATATTTAGTTATAAAACGATGTAATTTCTATGAAAAGTATACTTATATATTCCTATAGCGGGCTACTAGCTTATAGTTATATTATTAAATTAACTTATGCTTAGATACCTTAACTTAGTAGGCTTATTTATAACCAAATAGATGCTTATACTTCTCTAGCGTGATGTCTCTTTCCTTAGCTTTTACCCTCAGCTGCTCGACTTCGACCGGACTTATTTCCTTGATGTCGTATACCATACTTTCCGGAAGAGGCTTCACGCCATGGAAGATTCGTCGGAGGGGACTTGGGTCTTTAACCTGGTTGAGTTTGGCTCCTTCCAAAACATGACTGTAGAGATCCTCAAGACGGCCGGGCTTCAGGGGATCGAGAGTGCTCCCGCATTGTGAAGCCCATCGTGCGAAGGAGACTGCGAACATGACCCATGCGATTGAGCTCTCGGCATTTTCAGAGGGTGGCGGCTGGCGAAATTCGATGGTGCCTTTAGAACTGACAAGGCTTGCCAAATTCCATCGAAAGGTGTAATGCTTGAAGTCCTCGCTGGCATTTAAACTTGCACCGGTCGCTGAGTTTTTAGAGCACCAGCACATACACTCGGCAACGTTGTCGGTCGTAGGCTGTCGTTCAAGTTCCACGAATGCCTCTTGAAGAGAAAGGTGTTTGAAGCGGTGGTTCCACCGATTGCTCTTGCACCAGTTATTGATCCGACGCTGCCCAGGGACCAAAGCGTCTATACACCGTTCAAAGTATACAGCCGCTTTTGCAATACCCTTGACCTGGGCTAGGGTCCAACTTCCCTGAACAGGGGAGATGTGGACGTGGGTGCTGCATTGTGATGTTGATTGAACCTCGAACCCCCCTTCAAGTGCTTTCCATGCTGCATCGACTTGACCAACCCAAAACTTTTGATCAGAAAACTCCATGATTGGAGAAACGAGCTCTACTCCGACTTGACTGAAGGTAAGGGTCGACTATTGGTGGGCTGGTATTGAGTACGGGGAAGCGACTTACAGCGAAACTCCTTACGCTTACTGGTGATGGATAGTTCATCGACGATGGACCAATCTTGGTACTTCTCGTCCCCCTTTGCAAAAATGTCCGCGACATGGTTGGGAATCTTGGCAGCGGTAAGCTCCTTGCTGATATCGCTGGCCAATGACTCAAAGGATCCGTGGTCATTGATTTTGCTTTTGACAAGAAGCTCCACTTCAGTGCCGAAGCGAAGGTTCAGAACGCTAGAGTCTTGCGACATGTCGACGAACTGATAGAGAGTAGAGAGTTGAGCTGGGTGAGTTTGGACAAGATCGGCTGGCGATAAAGCTTGTAAAAAGCTTAGTGTGGAACTAGCAGGGAGACGGAAAATCGCGATAAATCGAGACTTGTCGGCTTGCAGAGCGAGGACAAAACGCGTGCGATATCAAATGATCAGCTTCGCTAACTGACTACAAATGGAGAGTCCTTATATGCTGGCGCGAAGTGCTCGATCGCCTTTACATCCATGTTGTTAAGCGCTGGGTTTGCTGCCGATGTGGTTACATTGCCGCAGGTCGCAGGCGCTTAGGTACATGCAGGCAGCAGCATTGCAAGATTTGTTGTCCAATTGTTAGAAGCTTGGGTGAATGATTCTTACACATTCACGGGCTGGATCGCATATCGGGAGGCATGTTGGCGCCAACGTGCATGCGTGATGTGCATCAGCTGCCGGTATTTCGGGGCTTATTCCCCCTTTTGCACATTATGGAAAGGAGGCTATATTGATGATGCGCCCGCACGTTGTGTAAGGGCTTGTGGCTATGCACATGAGTTTCGGAGGGGACACTGACTCATTGCTTACTACGCAGCAACAGGCTCGCCATGCTCTTTGTCCTAAAACGGTCCGATCACGTGCTTACTGGTAACTACGCAGCGAGCGCCTCGCCTCCAGGACTCCGTTTTCAATCACCACCATCGCAACACCTTGGTCATCGCCGCGGACACAACAGGCAACGAAACACCACTTGGACGCGCTCTATACCGCCCTGTTCTGCTTCGCGAGCCCACCGAGCGAACATGGAGCCCCAGCAAAGTCCAGTCGGCATGTTTCATATCATGGTACCTGGTTTTGTTGCAACACACTGAGCTGACAATGCCACTACCAGATGACACGAGCAACGGAAATTCCGACAAGCCATATTGTGGCCGGCCAATGACGGCAGCACAAATGCTGGAGGACAAGAGACTCATGGTCGAGGCAATCAACTCGGGCCGAATGTCACTCCTCGACGAAAGCCTCCTCCCCCCCCGCCTCGACGAGCCGGCTCCTCAACAGCAGCCGGCTCCGGCCGACGACGGCTTCGAGCCGTGCATCTTCTTCTTCTACGGCACGCTGATGGACCCCGAAGTCCTCCGCTCCGTCGCCGCGCTCGACGCGCCGCCCGAGCTGGCGGATGCCTGGGTCGAGGGCCTGGAGCTCCGGCTATGGCACGCCGTCTATCCCACCCTCACGCGCCTGCGCCAGGCTCGCGCCGCCACCCCCCGCGTCGACGGCAAGGCCTGGCGCGCCACGTCCATGGACCAGTGCCTGCGACTACAGCGATATGAGACAGCCGCCTACGAGGGCTACGACTGCGACGTCTATCTCGCGGCCGGCGCCGTTGTCCGGGGCCTGACGTTTGTGTGGGCGGGCGACCCGGACAGCAGCCAGCTCTCCGACGGCACGTTTAACCTAGCGCTGTGGCAGCGCAATCACAAGGGCTCCGTGTTTTAGTCTCAATGGCGACACTCCTTTCGCCTCCCTCCCTGCCCGCTTCGCTGCACACGCGCAGTCGGCAAAAAACCAAAAACGTTGCTGCTGTGGTGCGGCGTCTACTTACCGCCGCGGCCCTCGCGCCGCACGAGCCGGCTCGCTTCGTCGCGCTATCGCTGTTTCTCTAGTTCGAAACTGCGGGGGGCAGTTCCTTGTTCTCTTTTTTTGGTCTTTCCTCTCTTTCCACTTGCTGGTTACCGTCATCGACTTTTTGATGAGACACCTATCTGGTCCGACACCCAGCCGATGCGTCGACTGCCTCTCCGTCTGGCTAGACTGGCCTCTGTGTTTTGTATAGGTGAACCAAGAGCCTGCCATGATGCGTACATAGATAGATCATGCTCGCAAGCGCTGCAACGTCAAACCGCTACAAGAAACACGGTATCCCGTTGGATCCCTTGGCGATTCCAAAGCGCATCATTAAGGTGACCTCTTCGACGCAGGGCTGGCAGCCCCGTCTCCTTCTCCCACGGCCAATACCAATCATGACGAATCAAGGTTTAGTACAATGGTCACCTTGACGCGACCAACGCTGTCGAACATCTTTCATTGGCCTCGTGTTAACTTCTCCGTTATCGCTGCATATATAGGCTCAATAATACTACTATAAGGCTACCATCCCCTACCCCTCTTTCGGTAACACCCCTCTTTCGGTAGCGTAATTAGAAAATTGCTTATTAAAACCTATTATTTTTACTTATATTAATTCTAGCTAACTATAAAAATACTTATAAGCTATTACTTATTATTATAAAGTAAGTAAAGGTATATATATAAGTACTATTTATAAGATAATATTTATAAGCTATATAAAGCTCTTTTATATATAGCTAGCTTATATATATATATAGTATTATATAGTAAGTAAAGAGATATACTATAAGTGCTTTTTATTATATTATAATAATAAGCTATATAAGATTTAACTATATACTATACTTACTACTACTAAATATATATTTATATATATAGCTTACTTAGCCTTATAATACTATTAGCTAAGGTCTATTATAGAGTAAGTAGAGGCGTATATATAGGTGCCGTTTATAGGATAATATTAATAAGCTATATAGAGCTCTTTTATACGCGGCTAGCCTATATATATATATATAGGATCCGGCCCTCTATACGTAACTATATAGCTTAGGCTATAGTTTAAGCCTATAACCTATAATAGTTAAAGACTCTTATATAATGCCCTCCCTTTAGCACGGCGCGGCGCTGCCCTATTAACGGCTTCTATATAATTAGGCCCTAAGCTCCCTATACTACTAGCTCTACCCTACCTTTTCCCGTTAATCGTGCTAGCCCTACTAGCCTTATTATCCCTATACTTATTAGCCTAGGTAGCCGGAACCTAGCTCTATACTTATTAGCCGGCTAGCCGTTTAAATAAGGGCGTAACTTATTATATACGCCTTTAAGTAGCTAGCGGCCGGCTTAAACCTATATAAGCCTTAGGTTACCTATCCCCTTAGCCTTAGGCAGCCTCCTTTACTAAGGGGTATATAAGGCGGTATCCCCCCTTTCCTCCTTCCTTTCTTTCTCTCCTTTCTTTAACTATAGTAATAGTAGTAATAGGTAAGTTCCGCTTTACTTAAGGCATTAGTTTATTCTTAGCTATATAGGCCGCTCTATTAATATATACTTATAGTAATACCTATAATAGTAATAATAGCCTTAATAATAATAATAACTTTAATTAATAAGTTCCTTACTTTATAAAGTAAGAGGCCGTATTTTATTATATTAACTTCCGCGATAGATATATCTACCTCCCCCTCCCCTACCTCCTTTTTTTAAAGCGTATAGAGTTATTCGTCGACGCTATACTAAGCACGGCTAACGATAGCTCCGCTAATACCGCTACTCTTACCCGCGCCCTTACTACCGCGCCTACCGCCGCCGCTACGACCTCTACTACGCTAGCTACCCTTATATCGCCCTTTAAGGTAATAACGCTATCCCTACTATTACTTATAACGCCTAGCCCCTTAGCCCCTACCTTTATCTCCGCTACCCTTATAAGTCTATAGTTAAGTAAGCGTAATAAATATCTTCCGCTAACCTTTTAAAGTATAAGTACTAGGTCTAAGCTAGAGCCGCTTATATAGCCCCTTATATATAGTATACATTATAGGAGCTCCCTTACGCCGACTAAGTTAAGCGCCGCCGCCGCGGTAGTTATTACTAGTATACGCGTGCCGGCCGCGCCTATAAGGCGGCGCCTCCTATCCCGCTCGCTATAGCGTTAGCTTAGAAGGCTAGCGCGTATAGGTAGGGATAGGGGGCTACTAAGAAGCGCTTTACTACTACCGTAGCCGCTTACTATAACCTCCGCGCCTTAGAGCGCTAGGGGCTTATCCCTAAGTAGGTTCTTCCCCTTTTACTCTCTTACCTCCGCTACTAACTCCCTTAGTACTAGGGATACTACCTCCGTTGCCTTATTAGTAGTCCCCTTAGCCGTGCCCGCTACCGCTACTACTACTACCCTTACCGCCGCTACTAGAGCTAGCCGCCGCCTCTCCGCCCTTAGAGCCGCCGCCGCTATAAGAGTCTTTAACTATTATAGGTTATAGGCTTAGGCTATAGCCTAAGCTATATAGTTATATATAGGGGGCCGGATCCTATATATATATATATAGGCTAGCTATATATAGAAAAGCTCTATATAGCTTATTAATATTATCTTATAGACGGTACTTATATATATACCTCTACTAACTCCGTAATAGTATAAGCTATTAACTAATAGATCTAATAGATATCTCCTTAGAAAGGGTACCGCTTCCTTAAGGGAGTACCCCGCTACCTTTTAAGCGGATAGGAAGTATTATAGCTATCTTAGAAGCGATTTAAAGCGCGATAGCTAGTAAGAAGAATAAGGTTCTCGCTATACTAAGGGAGCCGTCTACGAGACTAGCGTTAACCCCTATAACCTCTATAACGCCGGTTATAGCGGCGGTACTACTAACGTAGAAGCCGCTTCCTTAGCTAACTTAAGATAGTAAGCCTAAGTCCTTTTACTTCTTCCTTAGCTAGCTATAAACGAAGTTTATAATAAATAAGAAATAGGGCCTAAACGGCTATCGTAATATAGCGTAATATTCGCTCCTTTATACGCTACTAGAGCCTTAGATATAGCAGATCTCTAGATTCTAAGATAAGGGCGGCCCTAAGGGTAGACGCGACCTATAGGACTTCTTCTAGCACCTTATATATATGTTCGGTAACGTATAAGAGCGGGAGAAGGCGTAGCCTATCCTACGCTTTCTCCCGCTCCTATATATTACCGAACGTATATATAAGGTACTAAAAGAAGTCCTATAGGTCGCGTCTACCCTTAGGGCCGCCCTTATTATCTAGAGATCTTAGACGCGACCTATAAGACTTCTTCTAGCACCTTATATATACGTTCGGTAATATATAAGAGCGGGAGAAGGCGTAGGATAGGCTATAGACCCTTAGGTAGAGGGATAGGTAGACCTTTAGCGAATTCCTCCTTAACTTTAAAGAGACGCTCTTATAGGCGGCGGGAACTATAGTATAAGAAGATAGCGCGAAGCTTATATAGTTACGGAACTTAATTACGCTAGCCTTATAAGAGCTACTTATCCCTATAATTATACTTACTAACTATAGTAAGTATATAAGCTAGTTAATAAAGGTAGTATAGGGCTATAAGTAAACGCTATATTTTTAGAAGCTATATAAGCGTACGCTATATAGCGGTAATAGGATTACCGCCCTTTTATAAAAGGAATAGCTAACTATTAATACTAACGGGGATACCTTAATATCGGCTACCTATATAGACCGAGCTAAACGTAGTAGGAAGCTATCTTTAAATATCCCTTATACTATCCTATACTTTAAGTAGCGGGCAAAGTAGGTAATAAGCGAGGAAATTAAGAAAAGAAAAGCTAACGGCTACTACTTATACTATAGCGCGTTTATATACTTTATATTAAAGTGCCCCTTCCTTTTAGCTAAGCGGCCTATAGTAGTTTAAGTAGTGAAGATAGAACCGCTCTTTACCTTAGACAATAAAGAGGACTCCGCGCTCTTAGGCCTAAAGGGAAAAGAGTAGCTCTAGAGTAAAGATAGGCTCTAGAGCCTTAATTACTAGTACTAGTAAAAAAGAAAGAAGAATTATCCGCCTATATAAAAGAGGAGCTTACTTTAATATAGGTTATAATTAATAACTCCTTACCTATCGCTATGTTACGACCACGGTCTAGCGAACCGCGGGACCAGTATATATCACGAGGACACGTAACGTAAGGAGCAAGGAATATTAGACGGACCGACGGGCCAATTAAGTTTAGAGCGACGGGTTACTCTAGCGCTCTAACGCTCTACGGCTAGGATCGTAGGATCGCCCTAGCGCCCTAGCGCTCCTAGGCGACGGGATCACCTAGTACTCTCGGCGATCTAGGGAAGCTCTCGAGATATATAAGGAAGGAACGGAATACTCCTTTAGATAGATAGCTCGATAGCTTTTAATATAATTATTACGATCTCTATTACGATCTTATCTCTAATTCCGATTATTTAATTACCTAGTTATAGTCTATAGTCTACGACCTCCGACTTATTACTAACGTAATATATATATTATTACTTAGACCACGCCCTATTATATCTGCTAATATAAACCCCTCGATAGGTTTATCTCTTAGGAATAACACCGGTCGTTATATATTAAAAGCTCTTATTTAGTGCAATACCGCGTTACTCTAAGTAATATCGTAACTATTAATATACCTATATAGTAAGCTAGATTAACTAACTCTAGAGCTACTATATCGCCTTAGGATATAATACGCGAGATTATTACCCTTCGATATAAGGTATAGTTACTTAGGAACGGAGGAGGCAACGGATAAGTTAGGGACCTCGGAGAAGTAGTTAAACTAAAATAGCTAGGACTATTCGACGGTACTTATAGCACGCTTCGA